CTAACCCTAACCCTAACCCTAACCCCAACCCTAACCCTAACCCTAACCCTAACCCTAACCCTAACCCTAACCCTAACCCTAACCCTAACCCTAACCCTAACCCTAACCCTAACCCTAACCCTAACCCTAACCCTAACCCTAACCCTAACCCTAACCCCCTAACCCTAACCCTGACCCTGACCCTGACCCTGACCCTGACCCTGACCCTGACCCTGACCCTGACCCTGACCCTGACCCTGACCCTAACCCTAACCCCTGAACCCTAACCCCTATATGCTAAACCCTTACCCCTATACCCTAAACCCTATACCCTAACCCCCAACTCTCTAACTGTAACCCCAACCCTAACCAACTTTATGTTTATTTACCTACCTCTGGGATCATATCTCTTCTTCAATCCTGCGATCTTCAAAGAGGTCACTGTTGAGGAAGGTTTCAGGGCATTCTACTTTTCTTGAAACCTTTCTTCCTGGTTGTGTCTCCTTTTTACACACCTCAAATCTGATATTTTCCTCCTTCACTCTTGCATGTGTTCTATTAAGAAAAATATAATCAAATTACTAAACTCAATAAATATCAAATGCACATGCAGCAGCCCAAGCTCCTTTTTTTCTTGATTTTATTTGGGGTGTCCGGTGGAACAAGTTCTACAATGGCTGCTTTTACACTAGCATTGACAGTTTTGGGGAAGACATCACAGATGAACATAGGAACTCAGTGTTACTTCATCAAATGTACCTGAGCAGAGGACAGGGAAGGGAAGGGCATGAGGAGGAGGAGGAGAAGGCAGAGGTCAAGGGGCCAGATAGGGAGAGGACACAAGGAAACTTAGGAGGAAATGACAGAAGGAAGTAGCGGAAAGAGGAGGCAGGGGGAAAGGAGACGGGAGGAGTGAATAATTAATGCCAGTTACAGGTGCGGGGGGCAGCAGTAATTTGAGAATAGGATAAGGCAAATTATTCAAAAAACATACCAGCTTCAAATGCCAGTTAGCCAGCACATTAAGAGTTGCATGGCAAAGCCAACTTCATCTTCCAAATTAGTTTAATGCTACAAACTTACAAAAAAGAGTACTGCAGAACCCCTGAGGAACAAGAACAGCCTAGGTGTGGGTGAAGGACCTTAAGCCCCCTTTACCCCTGGTTGCCCCTGTGGTAAAGTACACATGGTCTTGGTTCAGCCCAGAGTGCTCACCATACCAGGAAGGGCAAGTTACAAAAAGCTGACTCCTTACCCATCTGACCACAGGGACCCTGCCGGGTCAGCCTACGAGCAAAAAAGTGTAGCCAAGGCCTTTCTCACATACCCAGATAGGTGGCAGGCATCAGCCCCTCTCCTCACTAACTGCTGAGGTCTTGTCTTCAGTGAAGACTCTCCCTGTCACTCCATCAGCATTCCAGTGTGGAAAGATAAAAAACCTGCCATGGAGCTCCTGTGACAAAAGACATCAGAGGTGCAGTGAAAGCTTGGTCCTTAAATATCCCCCTCTCCAACAACAGTGACCAAGAAAACAAGCAATGCTCTCAGACACCCCCTACCTACAATGGGAACAGCAGATGTGGTGGCTCATCACACCAGCCCTTGACTTGGCATTTCATCTCCCTGGCTCTTGCGGACATCAGGGCCACAAGAGTTTAGTACTCAGAATAAACTAACAAAGATGCAAAAAAGATGGCAGCATAAATATATACCATGTTGCTCTTTTCTTAAATGTCAATGACAATTTGAATAGAATACAATATTATACTGCCATGATGTTTCTAAGCTTATTTTAGCAATAGTGAGCTGCCTTAGAAGGAAAAAGTCTGTGGTGTATAATGCTGACAACGTGACCTTGAAAGGGCTAAAAGAAAACCCACAAACATATATGTTACACATTTTAAGCCATAATCACATTTTACACACACACACACACACTAGACATGTTTTTTACAAATAAATCTATGTTAACAATATATGGCATCTCAAGATAATTCCATTAGGAAGCAATACTTCAGGATGAGCGCCAAATGAATCAAAACTGTATCATGGCCGGGCAGTGGTGATGCACGCCTTTATTCCCAGCACTAGGGAGGCAGAGGCAGGTGGATCTATGTGAGTTCGAGACCACCATAGTATACAAGAACTAGATCCAGGACAGCATCCAAAGACACAGAGAAACCATGTCTCAAAAAGCAAAAAAAAAAAAAACAAAAAAACAAAAAAAAACAAAAAACTGCATCATGAAGAAGCAGGATATTGAAAACTATACATATCCATAGTACAACAAGCTATGTTTTTAAATATACAGTTGATTACTGATTATTCTATATTATTATATCTCTAACAGACACATGTAAAATGTAAACAATTCTTTGGATAGACGCATGAAGTATTTTCTTACTTTCTTAAGCATGTTAATATTAACATTGTTGAAACATGTCAACAAAGGAGCACACATCAGGGGCACATCATCTACCCTTGGTATTGAACTCATGAGGATGAAACATGAGACATAGGAGTTCAAAGGTAGCCATGACAAAGTACTGACATCCAAGCCAGGATGGATAACAAACAATGACGTCTGAAGGGAATTTGTGGAAACATAAAAAAAAACAGGAACAAGAAGCCATCAACCTTTCACAGACCTTTATATGAAAAGTATAACACTACCTAATAGTTAACAATGATCCACTTAGATAATAGTAAACACATTCTATACATTTCAGTAAAAAAATTGCCTATCACCAAGTGAAAGCACAACAGAAGATGAACAGAGTCAAAGCAGGAATATCTAAACCAGCAGATAAACTGAAGGAATACATGAACTAGCAAATAAACTTCAGTATGTGGATTTGCCACATATACAGGACATTTTAATACCTCATACAAAACTTTCAAAATCTGAAACTACAATGCTGTGATCTCTGCCATCATACTTGAATGAAATAGATGAAACAGATTCTTTTCATTGAAACCAAGGTCTAAAATATTGAGAGGGATAAAGACAGGGTCAAGCAGTTAAGACAAATCCCTTCCCAGAATCAAGGTGAGTTTTTTAACAACATTCTGTAATTTCTGTTAGAAATAAATACATGAAGACTAACGGATTTACCATTCTAAGAACATGCACATATCTAAAGACACACTGACATAACCAAATAAAAATTAACAAAAATCATTAAACATTTCCAATCCTATAACCCAGATGTTGAGGCTGATAAAAGCTTACCTACAGTTTTTCTGTATCATGATCTGCTTCATATAACAAAAAGCGAGCATGTAGGTCTGAAGTCAGAGAAATCAATACTTCCCAGTTGGTGGGATAATTTGAGATGATTAAGGAAATGATGCCCTGCTGGAGGTAATATGTCACTGGGGGTTTGGTTTTATAATTGACATCTGCATACCATTTCCAGTTCCCACTGTCTGGTTCATTCTGCAGGTTGAGGATGTGAGATCTTAGCATCCTGCTATATCTGCCATATCTGACACCTGTTGCCTTGCTGTTTTCATGGTGATCCTGTATGACTCTGGAACCAAGAGTCAGATTAAATTCTTTCATGAGGTGATGTAGACATTATGCTATATCACAACAGAAGAGGCACAAATAAACATCCATAAAGTTCTATATCTGAATTAGTGATTTCCTGTCATTGAAGAGGAAATCTAAAAGGGTTACTTGTTAAGAGAAGCTTTTTCTTTGAGAGAAGCCTTCCCGCCAGCCTGGTTCTAGAGCCGCATCAGTCCCAAATAAACACACAGGAGGCTATATTAATTATGAAGCTGTTGGCCTTGTTTGTTTCTTACTAGCCAACTCTGACTTAAGTAACTACCCCATAATTGTTAATCTAAGTATTTCTCTTACCGGAGAATAGTTCCGGGCTTCCTACCCCATGGCGGTACATCTTGACTCTCCGTGTTCCTCCTTCCCAGAGTCCTCCTGGACTCCTAGTCCCACCTATCTAGATTCCTATTGGCTCAACAGTGCTTTATTGACATAATCACAGGACTTCCTCCACAGTTACTTTATCATTTAAATTTGTAGGATTTTTTCCATATGAGTTTAAAGTGCAAACAAAATAAAGACAGGCATTAAACTGCTTAAACAGATAGTTGACACTGTGAAACTATTTTCTCTGGAATGCTCGTGTACCTAAAACGTGTTGGCTAAAGATCTTACAAAATCGTTTATAGCCAGACTTTCTTCTGTACAAGTTTTTTCGGATTCTCAAAGACTATTGTGATAAGAACAGGCTTTAACACAATGATTGAACACTAAAAGTTTTACTCTTGAATACCACCACAAAGTGTAAAACCTTACCACACTGACTACATTTATAGTTTCTCTGCAGTATGATTTTTTTCTCATAATTTCAAAGACTACAATGGTGTACAAAGGCTTTACCACATTACTTTCATAGAATTCCTCTCCATTACGTGTTCTTTTATACATTAAGAGAATACTGTGATGTGAAAGGCTTTACCACTTTGACTACATTAATAGGGTTTCTGTCCTGTATGTGTTACTTTATGTGTTTGGAGATTACTGTCCTGCGTAAAGCCTTTAGCACATTGATTACATTCATAGTGGTTTTCACCAGTAAGGGTAATGTTAAGAATTTGGATATAACTCTGTTGTAAAAAGGCTTTCCCACATTCATTCCATTCATAAGTTTTCTCTACATTATGGATTCTTTCATGCCTTTTAAGATGATTATGATAGCCGGGAGGTGGTGACGCACACCTTTAATCCCAGCACTCGGGAGGCAGAGGCAGGAGGATCTCTGTGAGTTCGAGGCCGGGCTGGACCGATAGCCTCCAAAACAATACAGAGAAACCCTGTCTGTAAAAACCAAAAGAAAAAAAAAGAATATTATGATATACATAGACTTTAACACCTCAAGAATATTCAGGTTTCTCTCCAGTATGACAATTTGGTCTAATTATAAAGAAGAATCAGATCTTAAGGTTTTATCACTGTTTACACTCATGCTGTTCCCCTTCATTAAGGTTGGTTTGGACCTTTGAATATACCTGTGATGGTTCACATTTATTGCATCTTTTTTTTAGGACTTAAATTTTATTAAAAAAAATCAATGGAATTTATCTTGTATTAAATAAAACATTTCAACAATTCCCAAAGTAGCCTTAAAAATTCTTCTGCCACTTTGTATTGCATGTTTATAACAAATGAAAATGAAGAGTTGATGATTAGAAAATCAAAACATTGACTAACTCTGAAAAATTCTAATAATAATCTTTGTTATAATATATCTAAGCTGGGCGGTGGTGGCGCACGCCTTTAATCCCAGCACTCGGGAGACAGAGGCAGGCGGATCTCTGTGAGTTCAAGGCTGGGCTGGACCAATACCCTCCAAAACAATACAGAGAAACCCTGTCTCATAAAAACCAAAAAAAAAATATATATATATATATATATATAATACTCATATAGCATCTTTTGTATATATGAGATTTTTTCACATGTTTGAAGAGAACAGAAAAAACTCATATATTTTACTATAGTGAGTCATACTACATTTGTAAAATGAACCAGGACAAAAGTATATACATATTCCTAGTACGATTGGATTTTTCTGAAATGTGAGTTTGTTGATATATTGCCAATGAAGCTGGAAAAGCAATTACTTATAACTTGCATCACATTCAACAAATCTATTCAAAGTGGGTGCTGCTACATATCTTCTAATTGTTCTGAGAGAGAGAGAGCAGGCTATGCTGCTTTTTTAGATATCCCTATGTTCTTATGGCTTGTATCAAGAGTGACATATGATATACTTAATAAAGGAAGAGTAACAAATAAAAGGTGTCCACATTACATTTACACCATTTAACTTTCTATTCCTCGTAGACATATGGTATAGATAATAAGGTTTCTCCACAACAGCCACCCTTGTCTCTTGACTCCTCCTCTCACTAAAATTAGCAAAGTCACAAGTATGTGAATAACACAAGCTTTACTATGAACTATTTGCTTATTAGAGGATTTTGGACATGTATTTTTGACTTATTCAATGAGCATACCTTATGTAACATGAGTGTTATGAAACTAAATGGATTGGCAGGTACACAACATAGCTATCATGAGGCTATGGTTAAAATGGTAGTATCTATTAAGGCATGGTTTCCTTGTCTGTTCTCTTAAATTTATGCCTTGTGAACACAATTCACCTACTTGACACTGAGGTATATAGTTTTTTGAGAATTTAATAATCATCAATGCACTTTAATTATACTTACTTTATTTAAAACTTCCAGACACCTTGAAATTTGTTCTGAGGCATATTTGTATTAGCTTGTACATTAAAATTACCTTCTGTGTAGCATAAAATATAGTACCAGAAAATATATGATATATTATTGGAAATTGTGCAACATTTAAGTTATTACTTTCAGTGAACCTTAGAAACATGCCTGATTCATTCACATCATCATTGCTCAGTTTCAACTGTAATTACAGAAGAGCATCAATAACCAAGAGACAGTTGCCCCCTTATTTTAAAATGTGAAGGAAAATTCATAGTCTTACCTATAGCAGTGAGGTTCCTATAGTCTCCACCATCACATCTTTATGGAGATTCTTCTGGGAAGGATCCAGCAAAGCCCACTCTTCCTGAATGAAGTCAAAATGAACATCAACACAGTTCACTGTGTTCTAAAATATACCATAAATGTATGAAAAGAAAGTTATACTGACAACACAGCTAATGTAACAATCACCAAGTCACTTAAAAAGAAAAATGAATAGGAGGGTCACCTCTGTTATTTCTGAATTCCTTGAATGGGATATCACCATGTTAAAGTAATGCCTGTTAGTAGACATACCTGTGTTACCGATGAATCAAGATTTGCAGTTGGCATCGTGGTTTTGGAAGCCTCATTCAACTTGTTCTGAGCATATGGTAATCAACTGGCTAAAGTGTAAACACTGAGAAAAGTAAAATGCCCTGACCATAGGGAAAGCACTGCAGTCCACTGAGGCTGGAGACCCCAGCAGCTATGAAAGGCTAAGTTCATTATTAAAAGTATATCAGAGTCTTCTTTCCACAGAACCAAATGAACTCACATCCCAGCCTCAACATCCTCAACAAACTACTATCACACCATATGGCATAAATCATGATTCCTGGTGCTTTATGTTTATCATTTGCTTGTTTATAATGGTAACAAAAATAAGAGGGCTTAGAAGAAACATTAGATGCTAATTATTAAGATCATTGGACTCTGAGTTCTTTTCATTAATAAAATAAGAAAAACCTCTACCATGGCCAAGAACCACATTCTCCTACGTGACACTGGCCAAGTTAGGATGATGCTATGCAATGATTGGCTTAGCTCAGTGCCCTACAGCTCCAATCCTACACCATTAACAACATTTTTGTTTGGGATTGATTGTATTTCCTTTTTTTTTTCTGAATGTGTTTTCAACTTGTTACATACAAAACATGGAGAAAATATAAATATCCTGTCATCTGTATTGTCACAATTATTTTGCTTAATAATTATATGTTTTAGTGCCTGAGATTTATTTTCCATCATTTATTTATTATTAATTTTAATATATAGTGTATGCTTTCTCCTTTTCTTGTTGGGGCCCAAAGTTGAAGATTGCTATGTAACTGTTAATAATTCTTATATGTGGTCCCCATTGGCACTGTGTATTGCCTCAAGGACTAGGGGGCCTTCCTGTCATAAAACTTCCTGTAAGCTCTGTCTTCAGGGAGTATTTGTCCCTTACCTGCTGTGGTTTGTACCCACCAGCCAAGGTACCTCTCGCACAGTATTATAACTTTGATACATTTTCATTCTGTTCATTAATTTTATTAAATTTTTTTCATTTTTTTATATACTGAACAGTTTCCCCTCACTCCTCTTCTCACACTCCCTCCCCTCACCTCCCATGTAGCCCCCATCCACTCCTCCACCCACTTAAAGAAAGGGACAGGCCTCTCATGGGAGTCAACAAACCATGGCATCAAGTTGAGGCAGGACCAAGTTCCTCCCCCTGCATCAAAGCTGGAGGAGGCAAACCATCATGGTTCGTGATCCCACTTCATGGAGCCCCACAAACAGACCAAGATACACAATTTTTACACACATGCAGAGGGCCTAGGTCAGTCCTATGCCTAGCTCTCAGTCCAGGGTCCATGAGTTCCCATGAGCTCAGGTGAGCTGTCTCCATGGGTTCCCCTGTTGTGACCTTGATTCTCCTGGGTACTCCTCCATGTCTTCAGCTGGACTCCCAGAGTTCAACCCAGTGCTTAGCTGTGGATCTCTGCATCTGCTTTCATCAGTTATTGGATGAAGGCTCTCTGATAACAACTAGTCACCGGTCTGATTATAGGAGATTTCAGGGTACATATCCACGATTATTAGGAATCTTAGCTAGGGTAATCCTTGTGGATTCCTGGGTGTTTCCCTAGTACCAGGTTCCTCCCTATCCCCAAAATGCACCCATCTAGATATACCTTTAATTACTTTGCCATTCCTTCCACCCCCAACCAAGCCAACAAGACACTACTTGTTGCCATCTTACCCACCTACCCAAACTGCCCCGAGTTTACCCAGAAATTCTCTTCTACTACACCCAACATAACTTTAGATGACCACAGAAAGAGAAAACAAGATATTTCATAACAAACCCAGATTTAAACAATACCTACCCACAAACCCAGCCATACAGGAAATGCTAAAAGGAGAACTCCAACCCAAGGAAGTCAGCTGTGCTTAACAAAAACACAGGCAATAGATACTATCACAACAGCAAAACAGAAAAAGGAAACACACACACACACACACACACACGATCACCACCATGACAAAAATCAAAAACCAACAAGAATTATCAATCACTGGGATTAATATCTCTTAATATCAATTCACTAATAAAAAGACACATACAAACAGAATGGATATGAAAACAGGATCCATTCTTCTGCTGCATACAGGAAACACACATGAACTTGAAAGACAGACATTACCTCTAAATAAAGAGTCAGAAAAATAATTTCCCATCAAATGGAACTAAGAAGCAAGCCAGTGTAGCTACCTTAATATCTAACAAAATAGGCTTCTAACTAAAACTAACTTAAAGAACTGAAGGACATTTCATATTCAAAGAAGAAATCCATCAAAATGAAGTCTCAATTGTTAACATTTATGCCCCCAAATACACGCATCAAACTCCATATATTAATAGTGGGAAACTTCAACATCCCACTGTCACCAGTGGACAGGTCTACTATACAGAAATTTCACAGAGAAATAAGGGAAATAATAGATGCTATGACCTAAAGATACTTAACAGATACTTACAGAAAAGTTCACCCAAAAACAAAAGAATATACCTTCTTCTCATCACATCATGGGATCTTCTATAAAATTGTCCACTTGGTGACAGAGCAAATCTCAAAAGACAGAAAAAATTTGGAATAACCCCACTAATCTTACCAGATCACAACACAAACTAAAGAAAGCATACAAACACATGGAAAATGAACAACTCTCAAATGAATTACCAATGGGTTAAGGAAGAAATGAAAATAGAAATTAAATACTTCCTAAAATTCAATGAAAATGAATCCATGGCATATCCAAACTTAGGGAACACTATGAAAGCAGTGCTAAGAAGAAAGTTCATAGCACTAGGTGCTTACATAAAGAATTTGGAGAAATCTCACACTAGTGACTTAACAGCACACCTAAAAGCTCTAGAAAAAAAAGAAACAAACTCATCCAGAAGGAGTAGACAGCAGGAAATAATCAAATTCCAGGCTGAAATCAGTAAAATAGAAATAAAGAACAATACCAAGAATCAGTGATATCAACAAGATATCCAAACCAACTAAAAGGCAGAGAGAAGATATAGAAATTAACAAAATTAGAAATAAGAAGGGGGATAAAACAACAGACACTGAAGAAATCCAGACAATATTTAGGCCATGTTTCAAAAACCTGTACTCCACAAAATTGGAAAATCTAAAAGAAATGGACAATTATCTTGATAAGTAGCACATACCAAAATTAAACCTATAATCCCTAAAGAAACAGAAGTCACTAAAAGTACCCAAAAAAAGCCCAGGGATGAATGGTTTCAATGCAGAATTATACCAGAATTTGTTCTACACAATAGAAACAGAAGGAACATTGCCAAATTCTTTTTATGAGGCTGCAGTTAACATGATACACAAACCACACAAAGACTCAACTGAGAAAGAGAATTACACACCTATCTTCCTCATGAGCATTGATGAAAAATATTCAATAAAATACTGGCAAAGCAAATCCAAGAGCACATGAAAAAAATCATCCACCCTGATAAAGTAGGTTTCATCGCAGAGATACATGGATGGTTCAACATAGGAAATTCTGTCATAGAAACAAACTGAAAGAAAAAATACATGATCATCTTATTAGATGTTAAAAAAGACCTTTTAGACATGTAAAAACAGCTTAATCATGAACCCCACTTCACCCAAGGCTGTATCTGATAACCAGACCTCAGTGGTATCACTCACTCTAGATACACAGACAAGGTCTTAGAACCACATGACATCCACTGGACAGTATATAAACAGAGACCAAAGCTCTGCTATAGACATGTGAAGAGACATCACCTTGATCAACCCTAGGGATAGAGCATCTCCCCCAGGATCATGACCCATGAATCAGAGACTTCTGTTAGAGACTGAACCTGAACATCAGCTAAAATACATTGCACAGATGAGCAGCCCTGGTGGGATAGGCTTAAGACTATAATTGGGAATTCAGAGTGTGAACCTTGTGTGATGACCTTTGTTATACTAACTAGGCATATCTACCTTCTTACTCACAAAAGTCAGGAACACTTTTCTATGAGTGATGATTGACTTAAGTATACATCAGGATGAGGAAAGGAAAACTTTTCCAAAACAAATGCAAGAGAACAGATTTCTAAAGAACCAATATATGATTTCTATTATACACCTAAAAAACTTGTTTTGCTCTAATTACTTTATGAGTAAAAAGAAATTTTGAAAACAAATTTGTCCATTTTTTATGTGTATGTTTGTATGTTAGAGAGAATGTCTTCCATTTGTGTACAGGTTACACACCAGAAAAGAATCTATCACATATCCTGAACCTATAGTAGCAGGTAGTTATGAGTCTCTTAATTTGGGTGCTGGGATCTGAACTGTGCTGAATCACCTTCCAAGCCCAACAATACTTTTTATCCACAACTCTAAAAGTCTTTCGCAGATTAACAACACGTAAATAAATGAAGTATATAAATGATCCTAGGGAACATGATGCATTAATATTAAGATGTTGTTTATGGTCACTTTGCACCATAAATTGAATACAATCCAAAGACAATGCCAAACAATTTATAAAAAGACAGCTGATACCAAAGCTGCATGCAAAGTAGAAACACTCAGAATACTCAATGCAAACACATATATATACACAACAGCACACACATTGATACAATGACTTATATATTTACCAGGGAAGATACAATACTCAAGAATGTGTACAATATTTGTACAATAATAGAGAATGGAGAGAAAAAGCCAAGAACAAAAGCAGGAAAATCACCTTTTAACCAAAATACCAAAGGAAACTCAGCCAAACACAGCTACCTGTGATTCTATGTGTACAGAAATTAAATAAACACAGATTTCACAACTCCAACAAAATTAATTAAAAGTGACCCTTAAACTGTTAATCTTCTGACCCACTAGCTACTGATACTTCTTACAGAGAGACTCCATGCTCTAGAGCCCTCCCAGCAAATATAGGCGATCTCTTCCAGAGCCTTCTATGGCTCTATAGCCTCTCGTGCCCCTTGTGGTTTCAGGCAAACCCAGCCTCAATGGTGTCCAATCAAAAAATAATGTGAAGAATAACTTAATGTCTGCTTCCTGACACATGGATGATGTTACAAGATGTGGCATCTTCCCTATTCACCTGCAAAATACTATACTAACCTGAAATACCTCTACAGCTCCGAAACTCCTTTTGTGCCCTGGAACTGAACTTCACTAAATCACATCATGGTGACTGTCAGTAGCAGAAAGTAGAAAGCATTCTAATCCTGTCTTTCTAAAGGATGATGCCCATCCATTCCTTTCTATCAGTTATTAAACTATCTGTAACATTTGTAAGACAAACCTAAAAGTGGAATGTAATATCCAGAACTTCTAGAAACCAGACCTTCTGTTTTCCAATCAGTCTTCCCACTGCACAACAAAAGCAATGCCCGTGTGTACACATGGACAGTTATATTACCAGCTCATAGTCTCCCATGCCAGGATGGCAGAACCTCCTTCTCCCCAGGGAATCCACACTCAACAAAGCTCAGAGGCCAAGGTCCACTGCCTAGGTCAACACAGGGACCAACAGAACCTCAATCTGGCTCATGGTCCATCCCAGTCCAAGCAGTCACGATTCTGATAGCTTAGCCAACCTGCTTTTCCTGGTCTGGATACAGTGGCCCAGACACTCACCATGGCATGGCTTGTGGTCTACTGTGGTTCCACAGCAGAAAAAGAGGAGAATCCTAGAAAGAACCTGTAAGCTACCTCTCACTGGTGCTCCTGTTGACTAAGCCTTCCAAAAGTTTCTCATTAGTTAGTACAACATTGCTGGGCTTCAGGACATTAGCAGTTACCCTACTGGGTGAGCAGAGATCAAGTGACTCAAACCACACAAGCCCTCCCAGCTTTGCCCTCCACACTACAGTCAGAGAGGTTCCTAATCTGGGAAATTCATAGTTCAGTAAAATCCTCCACTTTCCCAGAGCACTTCCTGTTCCTCTTATAAGGCACAGGGTCCTATGTGTGCACATTCAACTAGATACTCAATGTCCTGCATAGCCAACCCTTTGCTTCATAGCTGGGAGATTCTGCAACCAAACACATTCAAACAACCTCTGTTGTTAAACAAAAAGAGGTCATGGATGAGAACACAAGGAAGGGGCCATGGGAGGCCTTGGAGGCAGAAAAGAGACATTGGAATTAATGTAATCCAAAAAAAATTATGTTACAAAGTTGAAACAGGAGTTATGGTTATGTGCTCCAGAGACTAGGGATTTGTATTAGAGCAAAACAAGTACTATTCACACTATTTCTCTCAGGGTTATCATTTTAAACCTGGATAATACAGTTATGTTAGGCAGGGCAACACCATTTTATCCAGTTCTTCTATTTAGGTGTTATGAAAAGTTATGTTCTTTATCTAGATTCTTGATTGCCTGATCCAAGAAAATGAGAAATGGACAGTCATGACATTTATGGAACACCTAAATGATTACCTGACTCCACATTGCTAAAGACAACCACTGTCATGGCAGGAAATCTTTCTTCCTTCTTCTTGTCCCTCCCTTTTTGTGTTGTGACTACACCTACTTTACAGTTAGTGAGTGAATGAAATTCTTACACAGTTTATCACTTCATTAGTAAATTCACAATAAAATCTAGAAAACTTGGAGGATATTCATTTACTGGTTATTTTTCCTTCCCAGAAACTTGTCAAGGCCCAGCCTGGAAGGAGTTACATGACTGTCTTTCCAGCACTGGGCAGCAGAAGTAGGATTAGGTGTTCAAAGCAATTATCAATTACATCTTGTGAAGCAAGCCTGAGCTATAGGAGACATTGTTCAAAACCAGTGGTTCTCAACCTTTCTAATTCTGTTACCCTTTAATACATTTCCTCATGATGTGGTGACCCCCAACCATAAAATTATTTTCAGTGCTACTTAATAACTATTATTTTTCTGTTATTAATTATAATATAAATATCTGTGTTTTCCGGTGATCTTAGGTCACTCCTGTGGTAGGGCTATTTGATTCCCCCAAAGGGAGCTGTGACCTCACAGGTTGAGAAGCACTGCTCTAAACTGATACATATAAATAAATAGATAAAGAAATGAATAAGTTGCACTTAAGAAAAAAATGGAATGAAATTCTTAAAGCAGGAAACAATGAAAAAAATTTTAAAAGGGATTATGGCAGTAATGCATTTAAAGAAAATGAAATTTTAAAAATGTTATCAATAATTGACTTTTTTAAAGAGATAAAAAAATTGAAAGAACACTTACCTATATTGACTTTGAAACAGAGTAGGTATTTTCCTGGTAGGGATAATGACATTAATAAGACATTGTGTGACTTTGTCACATGTAACATGAGTGCTGTAAGCTGATGCATGGAGTTATAGGCAATAGCCTGTGTCTCAAAACTCTGTGTCTCAAAACTCTGAGTTGACTTAACTATGTCAACCAGAATTGTACATATCTGCTTAAGAGTTGGCTAATTGAAAATTGAATATTTAGTAGTTCAAGCTATCCTCACTAAACTGTACACCCACCAATTCTGCCTGTCTCCATTCACATAGAAGGAATTAGTACAAGCAGGGAAATTATACAGAAAGTCACTCACCCTGCCCCATCAGGCCCTTTTTTATGATGGAGACCACTGCAGCTCACTGCCTTAAACTCCACTCTCTGATATAGTTATTGTCTAGACTGTTTCTCCTGCAATGTACACAGTGCACTGTTCCTCCTTTTCTGTCTGAAGGGAGAAGTCATGTTCCACACACAATTCCTTTTCCTGGTACTGCAATGGACAGTCAACTATATTACTCAAACTGGTAATTTTAGAACTCTGTGATGCTATAGACTTGTAATCCAAGAATTTATGGTGTTTAGTCAGGAGGAAAACAAAAGCAATGCCCTGTGTGACCTCAGACAGGGTTCAAGTCCACCTCAATTAATATAGGAGACTTTGTCTCAAAACTAATTTTCAAAAAGACTGGAGAAGCCACTGTTCTAGAATTATTATAAGTTTATTGCACACTGGGACTTAATGTTGGTTGTGACCCTATAATGTCCTCTTGTGCAGCATGTTAGAGGCCTTTGATGGGGAGGTGGTCCTTTTGGCTGGTTGTAAGTCAGGGTTATGGGACTATAAAGGTTACTTAATCCTGGTGAACAAACATTACATCTAAAAAATACTAATCTCTAACAGGTGTGGTTAGCATACTTATCTTTGGGGTATTTGGGAAACAACCCTCCCTTACATAAATTCTGCTTTGTGTGACTTAACACCTTCTAAGAATTGGTAAATCCTTAAACCATCAAGTCTATTACCCTGAATTCTACTCTTCTGCATTACAGGTTAGCAATGGAGATTGTAGCACTAATTATAATTGGTCTTAATAATAAAAACCTAGAGTCAGATATAGGGGTTAATGGTGAAAGATCAGGGAAGCAGAGCAGTCAACCCCTAGTTCTTAACTCTACTGAATCCTCAGAACAAAAGAGCAATCCTGTCCCTATGAATCTTCAGACTGAACACAATGAGCTTCAGTCTCCTCCTGCATTATATTCCTCTCTCCACCCAGCCGTATTACTCCTGTCTCCATCTTCCAGGTACTGGGATTAAAGGTTTGAACCAACATCACCTGGTTCTGTTTCTCTTTTAGACTAGAAAATCTAGTGTAGCCCAGGGTAGCCTTGAACTCACAGAGATTCACCTGCCTCTGCATCCCAAGTGCTGGGATTAAAGGTATGTGCCACCATGGCCTGGCAGGCTTTATTTGTACAAACAAAATACTACCACACTTGGAGATACGGTTTACAAGCTCCAAAAAATTACCTTCATCTGGATCCTAAACCTAAATGTTAAAAGTGCAGAACTTCTGGAAGATACTAGAGAGATTAGTACTCTCCGACTTTAGCAAATGTGTGACGATATGAGCACCACAGAGATATCAATAACTAGGATATTTCTAAACACAGTTTCTCTCCCAATCCTCTGCCGGGGAGTGAAGTTATTCAGAGGCTGCCAGCCCGGCTCACGGAGTTGCACGGATCACACAGGACCACGCTGGACCAGGCAGGACCCGGCAAGAATATGGTGAACTCTGTGTCTGGCCTCTGGCTCCCACCCAGCGTAGAGAAAACCAACTACGCCGGCTTCCGAGCCTCAGTCGGACTCTCCACCTACTCTGAGGACAGTAGGCCCTGACTCATCATGGCCCGCTACTCTCCTCACATGGGGGAAGCAGTCCCTCACTCACTTTGGCCCACCGCTCCTCTCGGTTTGTGAAGAGCAGCACCTCACTCACCATAGTGCAGCTGCTGAGATGACCAACGTTCTCCCCAGAACCAAAGGCACAGGACAGAAGACAACTTCTAACTTCCTGAGGCAAAGAGCTGAGCAGAAAGCCTGACTCCAGGAAGAACCCGCCCATCTGACTGGCGGTTCCGCTAGAGGCTCTGATTGGCTAGTGCGACCTGAGTGACAGGACCAGGTGAGCGGAAGAGGCACAGCATAATGGTTTAACATGAACAAAGAATTCCTGGGTGGCCCCAGGGGAACAGAAAACCAGAAGCCAAGAAGTGAATCCAGGAGTGCGGATTTTAATGCCCTCCAGGGGTGAAGCCACAAAGGGCAGACTTTTTAAGGGTGGACTCTAGACAGAGATGACTCCAGGGGAGGGCCTACCCTTGTCACCTGGAGGGCAGTGTTTGGAACGGGTCTACCAAACATACCAACTTCTTTGTTTATAGAAACCTGCAGGGCTTCCACCTAAACAACACAGACTCCTCGAGTATAGAGGCGTCGGTTTAAGTCTGGCTTCCTCCTGCTGACAAGAGACGAATGTGTGCGTGTTGGGGGCGGGGGGAGTCAGGAGTTGGTGGGCTCACATTCAACAGGAGGTATGGGTGGAGAAGTAATCAGTTAACTGCCATTCTGTACACATTAGGTATCTTCCTTGAGGAGTCAGAGAAGGCAGATTGGGTTAAGCTTCCACCATAACATGGAGGTGCACGTAGAGAGAGGCTTGTATGAATCCAGATGGTGTTTGGTAGCACCTTTCCAAACCCAGTCCTCGGGGTGCCAAGGCGAGCACTCCACCTTTAGAAAACCCACCATTCAAGGCTCCACCCCTGGGGCCACCCCTGAGGGATGTTAAAAGCCCCTACCCTAACTGGGTGTTTGGCACCGCGTGGCTTGCAGGTATCTCGCACCGGCAGTGGCTGCACAGGCTCAGAAGATCCAGGCGCGCTACGCATGAATGCTAAGTGCGGCCGCCAATCCCCGGCCAGGGCCATACCACGGCCTGCCCAGGACAAACACGCAGAGAGGGTGGCTGCGAATTACAGGTTCCAGAAAGCATCTGGGCAGAGCCCGGGTGGCATTGCTAAGTGATGGTGCCTAAACCACACTCAGAATGGCTACAGGTGCTAGCGCCGGCCGGTGTTCACAAATGCAGCCAAAAATCTGACAATTTATCGTGTGCTGAGGATTCAGTTTAGAACATGTGAGCCCACCTAAATTTCCCATGCACAGCCGAAGAGCAGTACACATAGGCAGGAGAATCCAAGCGCCCCCAGGTGCACCTACCCCCAAACATTTTTCCCCTCACCCCCACCAAGAGCTACCTCTCCTGCTGGATTAAAATGAGACTAGAAAATGAGGGGGGCTTTGCTCCAGACCCAGCACAGAATTCCTGTTCCTCCCTGGACTCCTTGACCTTTCCATTTCATCCGATTCAATGGAGTCCAGCCCTCCAGCTCAGGGAGAGGTGTTTCCCCTGTGTTGTGGTTTCTGATCTATTTTCTTGCTTCCTTCTGCAAGCCACCCAGTCTCTCCTGCCCTAAAAGGCAAACTCTTCTGGAGGTGCCTCCATCTCCAATTCCTTTCCACCAGTTCTTTCTGGGATACACTTCCAGCCACTGCTATGAAGTCCTCCTTGATCGAGGAGCGAGCTGCTAACTCCAGTGATGGGTTTCAGCTCTCATCTTTCTCATTATTAGCAATAGGAGCCCCAACTGACGGCCTCTCGAGTGATACAATGTCTGCACCCTCTTCCACCACAGCAGCTACTGCTGTAAGTTTGGAAATAAAGTTCATACCTATTTTGCAAGCACTTTGGTGCTTGCTTTGGGATTATTTGCACCTTGGAAAGAGTAATTGCTAGTTTTCGTTATTCTAGATGCAATAGCTTATTAGCCTATAATTAACCAAGTAGACGTGACTGAATTTAAGCATTGGAAGCTAAACTAAAGTGGATTTATGAAGCTCACATGTATGTGATGCAACATATTTCTCTTATTTATTGTCAAAATGCAATTGAGAGTAAAGGGAGGATGTGGGGTTTCAACTCTTTGCCTCACTGACATCCAAATTACTGCTTACCCGATTTTTTAAATTTATTTAGTTCTTGTGATGATGCCATGGCTGGTCTGGAACTCCTGAGTATAAGGTAGCCTACTTTACTGTCTCAGCCTCTGGGGTAACTGGGATTGATGGATCACGGTGACAGGTCCCCCATTACCCAATTTTAAAGCAGTGGAGAAAGAATACTTGTTATATATGATGTTTAGGTAGTGATTGATTTTTCACAACATTTTAGAGATTTTCCCTATATATTGTTGTGTATGTATCTTACATCTGCTTTTCTTACTGTTCAAAGATGCCCTTGCAACTTTTTTTAGCAGCCCAAAAATATTCCCCAAAGTGAAATATTTTAAAAATCTTTTAGGTTATTGCTTGCTAAGCTTTAGAGACTGAGTGTAGATATAAAAAATGATAAGGTTTTAATTTGTTCTGTTTGGTATGTAGATTTTGTGAAAGTCTGTGGGCTCCTCCCTTCCTTACACAAGACTTCATGTAGTGCACACTCATCTTGAGCTCTCTATGCTGCACAAGAGGACCTCTCAGGCTTGATTATCCTGCTTCTACCTCCTAAGTGCTGGGTGACAAGTGTGCCTCTCATTTTGTTGGGTTTTTGAGAAATGTCTTACTGTGTTGCCCAGGCTGTCCTCAAACTCTGGCTACCTCCATTCTTTATCCTTCTGAGTCCTGAAGTTACAGGTCGTCCAATCTTGAGCTACTAGACCCTACTGATAGCCAAGTTTTTAATCAAGGGGATTTCTTGTTAATCAACAGTAAAGCAAATACACTTAAAAAAGAATTTAGCCAGACACTGTTGGTTCAAGCCTTTGATTTCAGCACTGTGGAGACAGATGCAGGTGGATCTCTGAGTTGGAGGACAGCAAGTGCTACAAAGAGAAACCCTGTCTCAAAAATTATATATATAATATTTATTTAAAATTATGTGTATATATGTACATGCATATACAAGTGCCCGTGGAAATCAGGAGAAATTATCATCTTTAGGAGCTGTATATACACATGGTTGAGAGCCATCAGGTTTAGGACGTAGAAATAGAACTCCAGTCCTCTGGGAGAACAAGAAGTGCTCTTAAATTGAGGTAGTGTTCTAGCCCAACAGATGCACTATTAACAGTTATTCTGCAGATGATGATGATGATGATTGTTATTGGTTTTCTTTGCTGCAGCTTTGGGCAGTGAAACACGATCCACCAAACTCAACAAACCCACATGGAGTTCATTGGGAAAGGGAACGAAGTGTGGTTGTTAACCAATCATGAGCAAAAATGGAAAGAGAGAGAACAGACAGAAGGTGCTTGCTCATAAATGGAAAAGGAAAAGGAGTGGTTTAGAACGATGCTCAGCAGTTTAGGATCTTGAAACTGGAGTCATGGAGCTGCCTTTGGCCCTTATCCAGCCACTTAAAGCATGTACAACGCAGCCATGCAAACTTTGACAGCCTTTGAGCTGTCAGCGAGGAGCAATCACCTGTCAAAGACAGATCCTGGGGTGAGGGAAGGTCACCTGGAGAAGATCAGATAAGATTTATCCCAGGACTGGGAGGGAACCCGAGGATTAGAGGCCCCTAGACCAGGAAAGACTCCCTAAGGAGAAGGCACAGGCCCTGGAGAGGACTGGCGTGGAGTGACAGGTGGGTGCTCAGGAGAAACCACGTGGGTGAGAGAAGGAGAGGAGTCAGGAGCAGGAACAAGGCCAGGTTGCCCAGGACCTGGATAGAGGGAGAAACCAGGAGATCAGTACTACCTTTTATTTCCTTTGCTACCTACAAAATATTTGCATTATAAAAAGTTATAAAGGACACTAATTGTGGGTGTGGTGGCACAGGCCTTTACTCCCAGCACTCGGGAGGCAGAGGTAGTTTTCAGACTTTGAGGCCAGCTTGGTCTAAAGAATAACTTCCAGGACAGCCTAGGATTCACAGAGAAACCTTGTCTTGAAAAGCATAAAAGGCCACTGTAACAAAAATGTTTTTAGTTATCACTCAAAATGATAAATAAAAGATCTTGTGTGTCCTTGTTGTCCTCCTACACGTCAAGCCTTAAGAATTTTCTTTTACATTTTTTTACAAGTGAAAAATATCTACTTTTCATCTGTCATGTACAATAATTTTGGGAAAGGCTTTTCTATTTCCTGTCTGGTTAGGCTTATCCCTGTCAAGAAGTATTTCTGGTACAAATCTGTGATTAAACTTTAATAAGAAACATATGAGGCTTTCTCAGGCTGTTGGGTATTAGATTAAACTTGTCTGGAATCTGTGTTTGGTGGCAAGGTCTCACTACATATCTTTCTGTCTAGCCTCAAAATCAATTGGCTGTGTAGGCTGGGTTTGAACTCTAATGCTGTCCTCCTGCCTCAGCCTCCTGAGTTACAGTGTACATGTGTGAGCCACCGTACCTGTTTTCAGTGTTGTGATTTCTGTTATCCAAGGAATCATTGCTAAAGTCAACATTGGCAGGCGTTTTATTCCTTGTTTTTCATGGTTTAACAGTGTTAGGTCTTAGGTACAAGTCTTTGGTCCACATTGAGTTTATTTTTTCTTAGGTGAACATTCAACTTCATTATTCAGTGTGTAAATACCCACTTTCCCTAGCACCATTTGTTAAAAAGACTGATCTTTTCATACTGTTTTGCACACTTACCTAAAAGCATATGCCAGATATGAGAGGGTTTGTTTGTGGCCATCTGTTCCACTGATCTATGTCTATCTGTCTGTCTATGTCAGTTCCATGTAGTCTTGATTACTTATACCTTTATAATAAGTTTTAAAGTCAAGAAGTGTGAGTCTTACAGGTTTGTTGGGTTTTTGTTTGTTTTTAGTATTTTGTTTTTGGTATCTTTGAAATGGACTCACAAAGCCTAGGCTACCATGCAGAGTGTTGATCTTCCTGCCTTAGCTTCCCTAGTGTTGAGATTTACCATAACTGGTTTCAATGATGTTTTATGACTTCCATTTTTAAAAATCTTTTAACTGCCTAAGTTAATTTATTCTTAATGTTATTTTAAATTGAATTAATTTTGCAATTTTTATTTATACTGTT